AAATTTGTGGAGAACAAGGTTATTATGCTGGACAATAACAACGTTGACCAGAACTGACCTTCAACTTTGGCCAGCTTGATTAAAGACCTTTTCTCTCTCACTAAATAGATTTTATTTCGTTTGGTTAAAATTAATTATCTCATTTCGTATACATGCTGGAATGGAAGGGAGCTTTATTAGATAGAAAAGGGGATTCTGGCACACTTTGGAAAACAACCTTGATTTTAAAGGCAACTCATGAATTGAACCTTGATTTCAAGTCAACCTTAAAATCAACATTGATTTCAAAAACGGTTCTTGCGCATTTTGGAAACAACCTTGATTTCAAGGCAACTTAAATTATTCACAGGTGAATAATATTCACATCCTCTTCACAACTCACGAGTGAGTTCTGATGAGGGTGTGAATATTATAATCTCAAATGATCCTCTCGAACGATTTTCCTGAATGATTCTCTTGAATGATCCTCTTGTCATGTCATCGGGGTGTTGATGGTTTGTGAGACGATTTTTCAAATATCATCGTTGTATCTTCTCGCAAAAAAATTCATGATGTACATTGATTTATTCTTCTGTCAAGACAGTGTCTTTGTAACTGAGAAAAGTATGACAGCTTGAGAGCAGTCCTTCATGAAAACGATCTCGAACTATTTTTGTCTAATATCCCCATACGAATTCTGCATCTGTTGCAGGAGTTGTTGAAAAGTTGATAAGTTTTTCACCGTTGAACAAGAAAGAAGAAGCATTGACGCTTGAATCGTTTTAAGTTTCTTTGAACCAAACACAACTGATAATTTTTCATCTCCCGGGAACTGCTGGGTTTTTCTTGGATCAATACCTATTGTTTTATAATCATAACTTCTTTTTCCTTAAACATCATAACGTTAAATCCAAAACTCTTCTCTTTTTTGTCTCTCTGTTTTTGCTTCACCAATCGTTAACTGATCTTTTTCTCTAAGCAGAGAAATTTAAGAGATTCTATTTCCAATCAAAGAGTATCTCACTTTGACTAAGACCTATGACCTAAGACCGCTTCATGATCTTAAGACAGGAAGTTTGTGGCACGCTTTATGGCTTCACCCAAGCGGTGTGCGCACTCCGATTGCGTTGCATTGTGGTAGCTTCATTTTCAATATGGCGGTGAAAGCAGCAGAATTCGGCAGATTTTGACTGAACATTCCGTAAAAGTTAGGCCGTTCCTTTTTCCTTTCATCATAGATAAATGTAATTTGATTTATTCTGAATGTGTAAAAGTATTTTTTGTTCGTATTTGTCGCGTATTCTATGGTTCTCAAGGACAAGCGCGATCACTGTTTTTTTGTATGTAATTTGAGACCGGATTTCATGGTCAAATTTGATGTCCGTCGTAGTTTGGAGCCTTTCAAAGATTTGAATGACTGCTTTGATCCTTCTTTAACAGCTCTGACTAAACGTTCTCAAATGCTCTCCAACGGTACATGTGTTTCTCGCATTTTAAGTGCAGGTGTTTGAGACTGATTTTGGCCGAGAAAAGGCTTATTGTTCCGTTACACAGCGTTACTATTATATACTCAATTGTGTTGTAAATCTACTTTCTTAAGTAAAAGGAAATTAACTTATCGCGAGTGTTGTATGGTAAATATACTATCTTGATCATTGAATGAAGGACAGTTGAATTTCAGCCATGAACGGAATCACTTGACCAATGAATAACTCTACAATGCGCACGACGACACACCGGGTAAGCCGGAAAGCAAAAGGTGGTCGATCATCAAACGGTGCTGATTGCTTGAGCGACTTCTGCCATTCACTTGCGCTTTTAAATCTTCTAACCTGAAAGCTTAGCTGTTATTAGGATATCCTTTAATGAATTCCGTTTACGATGTGATATTAAGGGTTAACTTTAAGGTGTCATTTCCCCATCTGTATGTTCTTGAGATTTGGCAAAGCCGGATGAGATTGTGTTACAAAAGGTAATATTTTCATGTGTGCGCGCTATTTTTTTTTTTAAGTATCAGTCTCTCCCGCAGAATATAACTCCAAAGATACGTTTGTAAAAACCTTATTCTAGGTATTCTATATTCTTTAAGCATATTTGAAACTCTGTACGTTTTTTAATAAACGTTGAGCGTGACGAATTTGGTGTTAGGAAGTGTAAGGCTTCTCCTTTCTCGAATCCCGTATTCACGCCTTTAAGTGTATGACATGGAAAATAGTTCGTGTATTAGAAGGTCGCTGCCTCTTTGGAATGCGTTTGCGAGGGACGATTCTCCGTTAAATAACTCGCGGATTTGATATTATTCACACAGCCATCAGCTGTGTGTAAAACTGCTGCTAAATGAATAGATTCTCGGGCAAGACTGCAGTTTCGATTCTTCTTGAATGTCTTCAATTGCCTTCTAACAACGAATTTGTCACGGAGGAATAACAGGTGTCGCACAGGCCCGCTAACACTTTTTAACTTTCGAAGGAACTGCAACAGACAGTGAATTTCCACGCTATCTTACTGCTACCAGAGATGTTCACTCGACCACGACAGGATGCAAATGACTTATTTTTCATTTTACGACTATGATGCAACACAATCAGAGTGTGCACACCACCTGGGCTTCACCGAAGATAACCAGTGAAAAGATTGACAACCTCTCTGTTCGCAGCATCATTAATGGATGAGTTGCCAGTAATAGGATCCTTATGTTTGCGCAAAGATTTCTGAGATCGCCACGGGGCAAACATTACAACTCGTCAGAAGGAAATATATGGCGAAAGGTTGTTTCGACGACTACAAAAACGATTTTGGAGAGAGATCATTATTATCATTTGTTTTATCACAAATGATAATAATGATGTTGTCTGTTGAAGTCCTAAATGTAATAACTGTCCTAAATGTAATAAAGTCCTAAATGTAATAACATTTGGTCCTAAATGTAATAAACTCCTAAATGTAATAACATTTAGTCCTAAATGTAATAAGCCACCAATGCAATCGTTCAACTCCTTCAGTGCATAGTTGTTATGGCGGACATCCACACTGAGATGTTAGTGACAGCTGTTGCACCAAAAAAACCGCTGACCAGTACACATGTCACATTACGGGCTCGCTGATATCAATCAGCGTCTTTTTACTTGCTAGACATCATGGTTCATAAAGCGGTTTATTGATCGAGTTGAAGAAAATCATTTCCAGCCCAAAGTGGGCTAGTGCTTGGCTGGAAGCTTAATAGGATGGAATAGATTGGTACGAGATTATTAATTTTTTGGAAAAGACATTGACTACAATTGATGATGAACTAGCTTGCTTTTGTTGATGTTATCGTTCGTGTTAAAGTCTTTAGTAGTGATGCACCATTTTAGAGCAGTTTGAATGATTTCGCTGTGTCACATGTTAATCCAAAAGAAAATTATTATTATCAGTAGCGTTACTGAAATTTTGCACATCAATGTTATCCAGTGTCGGTTGATTTTAATGAAGCATTTGAGTTCATTTTTAAGAATGACTATCCTGATTTATTCAATTTTGAACTTAGGGTATTGCATTTCTAGCCCTCTATGGCTTTACTCCACCTCAGTAATCAGTTCATGTACCATATGACTATAAGTGGAAACTGTTGAGCTTTCTTTTTTCATTCATCTATATATCTATTCATTTTCTCCCCTCACGGCGGGGAGAAGAGATGAAGACAAAAAATGAAATATAAACTTGAGATCAACTTTAAAATATATTTTTTTCCCAATATTTCGGTTCGGGAACTGATGAACCCGTCATAAGGGGCTAAAGGAAAAAAATGAATGGTTCATTAGACCGTCAACTGACCATCATGTGTTGAATGTCGTAGCTCAATGGTTCAATTTGACTCTTGCGTGGAAAAAAGGCAACATGTCGAGACCAGTGATCGTGAAATGGGATAACATATAATTGGTCAGTAGATATCTTGCTCTGTAAGTCACTTTATCATATAGCTAGCAGCGCACGCGGGCAAAATGAAGTGAATCCTGTGTTCTGATTGGCTACCTGAGCGGGCATGATGGGCCCACCCTCGCCCCCTCGGGATTCCCCGTATTGATCCCACGCAAGAAAACCTACAAAGTTCGTAACTTTTGGACAATGTTTGCATATACATAAAAAAAAAAAAGAAATTAACGATCCTCCTGAGTTTATTGTGCTGCAAACACAGCTGGCTTTCACTATCGGCTCTCGAAATAAACGGGCCATTCTTGATTCTTATCAAAGTGAAATCTTTTGCTATACAATGAATCCTTTAATGATTAAGCCAAGAGAATATAAACTTTCTTGACCAAGCTTGTATGGTCAAGATTACTGGATATTAGCCTCGTTTTTTTCTACTTTTTTATGGACCGAGACTTCGTCTCAGTCCATAAAAACGCAAAAAAAAAAGGAACTCGGCTAATATCCAGCCATTTTGACCTCACTCTTGGTCAATAACGCATATGAATATATTTTATGCAGACCCGTACAAATTTGGCAAGGGAAGACAGTACAAAAAATGCCCTTCCGAGCCCAGAATTTGTCTAAGGTATAAGTCGGTGGACTTCCTTTTCCTTATAATTCGGTTCATGAAGTGTTAACTTCAGCACTGATGACAGAAGTATATCGTTAAAATCTGTTACACTTAAGAGTCTGAGCCAATGATATAAAGACAGCTATTGGTCAACGTTCTCATTGCTTTTGCGTCCGTCAATTTGATGCCAAAAGCACATCAGTATCAGTATAAGGCTTTGTAACCAATGTTTCTCAACCTACGTCTTTAGCAAATAAAAAGACGCTGATTAATATCAGTGAGCCCGCAATATTCCATGAATATTGGTCAGAGGATTCTTTGGTGCAACAGCTGTCACTTTGACATCTCAATGTTAGCGCAGTTAAAAGATTGCATAGGAGGCTTATTACATTTAGGACCGAACGTTATTACATTTAGGACTTTAAGGAGGGGAAAAACACTTATAATTCGGCGAGCAGATAATATTGTTAAAACTGGGAAATATCTAGTGTAAAGTGCTCAGTCACGACATCACTTGTGATTTCTCACCTTCAAATATAGTCCTAATTCTCCTTACAGTAGGATCTCCCTCGAAAACAAAATTTCTGGAAAACAGTTTCACCGTGTAGTTGGTATTTTTCTCCAAACCACGAAACGAATAACTTGTCGTCTCAGAATCGGTGATATTATCCTTTTCTATCTCAGTTTCACCTTTTTGTAAGATCATTCGGTATCCTATAATTGGACTTCCTCCATCATCAGCTGGTGCAGTCCATCGTATTGTTATATAAGTTGCTTGAATGACTAATTCTGATGAGTTGATAGATGCTTTCCCTGGTCTCTCTACATAGTGCCATAAAAAGGGATCATTTTGAGCAAAAAAAAAAAAAAAGCGAGAAGAAATTTCTTTTTGGTGATTACCTCAAAGCGAGTTTTGTCACAATAAGATGAATTAAGATGAACGCAAGTACTTGTATTATTACAGTTTAATGAATAGACATGTAGCTGCCGGATAAATTAGCCAAGGGCCCGTAAGAAAAGGAAAAATTTAGAGTCCATGCTTGAGGAAGTTTCCTACGGATACCCGCATGGGAGGATGTCGTCAATCTACCTAATGTTCATCGCTCTTCTGTAACGTGTTTAATGCTACCAAAGGGCAAGGCGTCGACAGTTTTTACTTCTAATACACCAGAAGCAGTGGTAATGAGTAAACACAAAATAAAATGCTGACTTTATATGTAGTTTTTCTTTTTTCAAAAGACACTGATCTTTTTTACTTACTTATCTGATTTATCTTTATTGATTTCTCATCGGATGGGATAAGTCCATTGGCAGCAATGCATTTGTAATGACCAAAATCTTGATCACCCCCGAGTGGCAATTGTACTTTGTTTTCTCTGGCTCTGACTCTGTTTATTTCACTTCCTTCAGGTTTGTACCAAGAGAGTGTTGGTGTAGGAACACCATCAGAAAGACACTTCAAAGTCACTGTCTGGCCAATCCAAGACTTCTTAGATGACGTGGTGATATTTTGAATTGTGGGCGGGTCTAAGAATAAATGAAAATGCAATAAGCAATTGAACAAGTAATTGGTGATACTTCATACAAATCAAAACATTAAAGAGCTTTATCATTCCACTACTGTGTCACTGACATAAAAATATACCACAGTATTACTCTTTACAACAAGGCAAAAATACGTAGCAACATATTGGTCGGACTGGACGATCCAAACTTTGATTTTTTTGTTTTGTTTTTAAAATTTGACTTTTAAGGAAGCGAACTTTTAAGCAGGAAAATACACAAAGAACACTTTAATGGTTTAGTCCTAGTTGTTTTCGTCTTTGAAGTACACCTTATGCTATTGCTACGATGCACAGATTAGGCCGTAGGATGTAATTCACATACTAAAATTAAAATACTAGAAACCGAAAATAATGGTGACATAAAAAATCCCTTATTCAATGGTTTAACATATAGTAGGAGCAAAAATTTTTCTCATTGCTCGTATTTTTTTCTCGTCTATTCAGGGCTAGGAAAAATTACTTTGCAACTGGCTAAAATAGGGTGTATTTTTTTCTTAGAGGGCACAGTGACGAATCCTGCAATCTAGTGGGTACTTAGCGCGGTCCGTATTTTCTTATCTCTATCCACTGGCACGGCAACACTTTCGTAAGTCGCAGAGTAATCCGTTCCTTTGTTGCCATTCTTTATAAATAAGTGTCGTTTTGCCGGCTGGACATTCTTTTCAAAGAAAGACGTGGGTCATGGCCACAAGCTGGTAAATAACTTACTAATGCTCTCTTTTCTCTCTCTCTCCCTCTTTCTCTCCCAAATCGCTTTAAATGCCAGCAAAATAATAGTTTAAAAGTTAATTTTTGGTAGAAAATTTTGTGATTAAATGGATTGACTCGCGGCCTAAAAATCGTTTGTAATTAATTTCAAGCCTCCACAAAAAATAACTCAGAAAGTTAAAACGCGAGGTATTTGTTAATAATTGAACTAATCAATGGGACTTTCACTAATTCAATAGCGTAGCCTATACCTATAAAAACATAGGCATACTATCATGCAAGAGTTATTTTTTGTGTGGGTTGATTAATTGAAACATTTTATGTGATGTCTACATTTTTACGAAAGGAAAGAATATTAACGCGAAAAAGAACTCAAGAAGCTAGAGTTGCTCTCGGCTACGCCTCGAGCAACTCTTACGCATCTTTCGTGCTCTCCAAACTTCCCGCGTGCTTCATATCTCGATGAACGCACGCTGATGTATGAATCAATTGTTAAAGAGTAAGGTTTACTTGTTACTCATATAGAATTTTTAATTTAAGACTGTTAGGAAAGCAAACAAACAAATAAACAGAAGACAGTGAAAGAAGGGAAACTATAGACTTCACCATTCGATGGAAAAAAGATCACAGAATATTTAAGAAGGGAGACTTGAGGGGAGGCTAATTTCATCCAATGCCTTTCATGTTTTTGATCAAATTAAATTTAATCAGTTGCGGGGTTTGCCTACAATGTGGCAAATTGCCAATGTGGTCTTCTAGACAGCTGAGAATAAGTAGTGATTCTTCTCAGATGTCAGCTTGTAAAAGATAGATACTAAGAAAAGCTGGCCATAGGAAAAAGTACACACCATCAAAAAATCGTAAGATTTGAAGAGAATTGGTTATGTGATTGGGTTGTGATAATTAAGCCCGGCAAGGCTTATAAATAAAACATGGAAGGACGCATGCGCGTTCGCATTGATTCCTGAGCTGATAGCTCAAAACACGCGCACACTGTGAGTCAATGTTCACTCGTGCACGAAATTATTCAACATGTTGAATATTCTGAGCTCATGGCACGCGTGACAAAAATCGCAGAACATGACACCGCACACTTGAGGAAACAGCTTACTCCAACAGCCACGAGTGACGCTCAGCTCAGCTGATAGCTCTAGTGTGCGCCGGGCTTTAGACTGATAATGGGCGAGGTTGAGGAAATTATCAATTTTGAAAGGGTTTTTTCTTGAATATTGATTTTGGGTTTGTTGTTTTTTTGGGTATGTTTTGGTGAAATTATACATTTATGCATATAAATACACCTGTTTTCTAAAACGTTGCAGTTTTGAGAATATGCACAGTTTTTCACTTCTTATCAAAGAGCTGATGCATGATGCACGTATATTTCACATCAAGACATCACTACTTTTTCTTTAGAGTGCGAAGGTGAAACAAGGACTTGACATCAGCTATTGTGCTAATCCTTTCTCCTTATAATTTATTCTGTCATTACTTTTTTATTGGAACAAAAAATGTATTTATTTCTTGGATTTTTTTTTCAATTGCAACATTTTGAAAATATGTGTATTTATTTATTGTTTAATTTTAATTGAGTAGTTCCTTTTTATGTGACCGTTTATTACAAGTGGAAGACAATGCAAACAGGCTGTTGTCACTCAATCAAAGGTGGCCAAGACCACTTAATAGAAGTGACCACTAAAAAGAGGTGAAAATAACCGCGATTAAGAAGAAAAAAATTGGGGACTTTGGCAACTGACCAAGAAATACAGGATGACAGCTTTTTATGACATACTGAAATGAAGACTTACATTGCACAACGACATAAGCTCTTACTGTCTTTTCCTGTCTTCCCCCATTGGTTGCGATGCAAACATATTCTCCTGCATCGTTCCTATTACTACTGGAGAGGTTCAACTGTCTGGTGTGGGACAAAGTAATCCCAGATTTTTCCCATCTTATCTGAGGTTCAGGAAAACCCGAGGCATCACAACTCAAAAACAGAGGAGTTGACGTGTTAACTGTTATATTCTGTGGCACTTCTGTAAACTGGACAGGAACTAGGTAAGAAGAGAGACATGACAAAATTTTCACACCATAACATTAGAGTGTGATTTGGTTCAAAACCATCCACTTCCTACGCTATAGAAATAAGATTATAAAGTGTAGCACATACCTAAAAAAAATATAAACAAGTGGAAACAAACTTTCATTATGTCAGCTAATCGGAATTTGCATCAGTTTTAAAATACTCTAATAACAAGAATAAGTTTGCAGTTTTGTGGCGGACACAGGATAATTGCTTTGTAATCATGGTTTGTTTTTTTTTTAACATAATGAGACCTAGGATTAATCTCAAACTTGTACCTAAATTCCAGGTATACTGCTACACAGTAAAAATAAATATGTACAACCTTATATAGGCTCCCAAAACAGCTACACAAACTTAGACTTCTTGTGTAATCTAAGGTAACAAACCAAATCTGGTCAGGCCAGCACTGTCAAGGAGTGCCATTTCTCCCAAATCATTGAACATTTCATTCCTATTATACTCTTGTGAATCATTATAGGGTTTGCTTCATTATCATTAGACCAAGTTCATCATAAGTACACATATGGTTTTATTATTAGGTACCAGCTCATCATTATTAGGCACCTGTCCAGCATTATAAGGCACAAGTCCATTATTATCAAACACCACTTTATTCTAATCAGGGACAAGTTTTGCTATTAGGCACCCATTTCTTATTAGGTATCGGCTAAATTTTTTACGTCATGCATCCTTCATCAGCACTTTCCCAAGTACCTTAGGAAGGAGCATTGTGTGGCAAGCTGAGTAATGCTTGCGAGGGGGACACCTCTTCAGCTAGAGAGCAACGCAAAGATGTCAGTAAAACCACACCTGCCTCTTCCCCAGACTTTTTTTTCTTGTTTGAGGGAGGCGGGGGGGGGGGGGGGGGTAGGCACGACACGTCAATCTCAATACCAGGGTCTCTGTTCTTCTCTGTTCCAAATTCCAAATTACTCAAAAAAAGCTCAAAGATGTTTCTACCCACCATTTACGTCAAGTCTCACAGTGGCTTCTGCTCCACCCCCAGCGTCATTATGTGGGACACATTTGTACTCGCCATAGTGCTGAGATCGATTGACCTTATTCAGAGTATACTGACTGTTATTGTTCCCACTTAGGAGGTGACCATTGAAATAGAACTTGTAAATTGACACTTTTGGCACAGCCGCCATAACTATGCACGTGAATATAACTGTGTCCCCTTCAATGACGGTATTTTGTGAAGCATTGGTAGTGAGCCTTGCACCTTCAGGTTTGTCTAAAAATGTAAATCAAATTAAAATATTAATGTCTGTTTACATCATGGCCCATACATTCCAGCTAGTTATAAATCATAACCCCTTGTAAAAGTCTAGAGGGTACATGATAATGCGACAAGGAAGGGTTAATCTTGTGTGAGGGTTAATCTAGTATCAATCAATCGAGTACCGTGGTCAGAAAATATAACGCTTTTGTAATAGAAAATTGCAGCAAGTCATCACCAATGGTTAGGATGTTGACTAAAAGCAAAATACTTTAACTCACATATTGTATGCTGAAAGACAATGGCATTACTGCTGCAAGAAAAAGAACACCAACTATATAGTTACCAGGAGAGCTATTATAAATCCTCTGGTAACTATAACAAGCAATTTGTGAAGGCCAACTCTACTTGTTATTAGACATAAAAACGTTGTCATTCATGCAGAATTTCTGGTGAAATCCTCAATTTCGAGCCAGAGGATGGGTGCAAAAGGTGCCGTAGAGGCTGTATGTGGGAGGATCTCATCTCTCATAAAATTGAAAACCCAATTTGAATCTAAGACATTCCTTATTTTGCTCAATTGATACTAGGCCTGGGTTGTTCAAAGCTGGGTAAAGGTAACCCAGGGTTAGTGTGAAATTTGATTTCAGTCCTGAAAGTTTAAAGGGAAAATTAAATTCAAATAATTTTGCTTGGAATTTGATCATTGGATGTTCTAAAAAGAATAATGAAAATTTTCCCTAAAAGAATTTTGAACAAAGATATAAAGAAAACTGAATTATAATTTAACCCTGGGTTAGTCCTTGGAACAACTGGGCCCAGGATGATATATTTATCAAGGAACCTTCTAAGGAACAGAGCCTCTCTTGATCAATTAGAGTAGATCCGGCCATATTCCTGAAAGCTTTAAGTCAAACTAAAGAATGAAACTGCGCTAAAAATTGCAAAACAATGCAAAACTCTTAACTTTAAATTTCAACACGACGGAAGAAAAGTGCGACTTTGTCAACCACGTGAAAACGGAGGTGGGCAAACACGCATTTTCATAGCCGACGTTGATTATGGGTGAACTTATTGAGTCAGATTTATAAAAAGAGCAAGAATTTATAAAAAGAGCAAGAACTATTAGCCACTCAAACAAATTCCATGGATCTGTATATAATAACTAACTCCAAAGTGTTCCGCCATCCGGTCGATTTTCCCTTTTGTTTTACGCTTTCCTGGATTTGTTGGACATTTTTGTCACATGTGCTTCCCAAATATTTGCTCGAATTCTCCTTCTTTCTTTAATCCAAAATTTTATTTTGTTAAACGCCTCGTAGCTATAATCAAAACACGATGAACACAGTTCACATAAGCGTTTGAAACCTTCTGTGCCGAGAGATTTTAATATCTTGTTTCGTGCTCATTATATGATATGAAGATCCAGCATGTCGCACAAAAAATTGTTTTGTCTTTCCCAAGCTTTTTATCGCAAACTTTCGTTCACCACTGAAAATTCGACGAAATACTACACTTTGTTTCGGCGAAATAAGGCGAAGTGCCGGTGAGAATGTTCCCACGAAATGAAATGAAATTTCGAAATAACAATGAACGAAATTTAGCGACTTAAGTTTGCATTACTTTTGCACAATACTGTACATGTACTTCTATCAAAAATAGTATAAGTTACCCCTAACAATGAAGTGCCAAAAAGAAGATTACTGTCTTGGCAAACAGTTTCACCGGTCTCTGAAACTGTTTTTGTCCAAGTAATTAGAACAATATGTTTCATCAGAAGATATTTTTCTACAATAATCATTAGGCGGTAAGGGAAATTACTGTTGAAACTCAATTTCATTTGAAAAGAGGCAGATATTGAATATGTGGCGTTAAAGAGATTGTCACAGAACGTCGGCCAAAATAGATTTGTACTTGCACAAGTGAAACCCTAATGCCAAAATGTGATCGGAGAGAGCAACAAACCCTAATGCTGCAATCTCGTTGGCTTGGGCAAAATGCCACTTCTGGACATTTACGTCGCTTTTGGTTGTTTTTTTTTTTTTGTTCAGCTGTCTTTTTTTTTAATTGATGAGAACTGATAGCTTTCCAAATTATTAAGAGACCCATGAATGAATAAAATCGGCTGTGAGCCACTAAAATTAAATTATGAATGACGAAGAGATAAAATGTAGACCCCATTAAACTGACCTCGTATTGTACTTTTAGTTGTAACAGGACATGTTTTATATATGTGGTATACTCCAAGAAAGCATGTACGGTGTAATTTCCTTATAAATGGCGCGTGACTTCAAAATCTAGAGATTAGCATACTGTACATGCTCGCTTTTTACCGGCTCCTGAAAAAAGAGGTCGAATGCCTGAACACTGACACAATTAAGTACCTCCCAACCAGAAGGTTATGGAAATCAATTACCGCTACGCAGTATTTGGTTTTCCTTTCCCTGTCTTTAGGTGAAAAAAAAAGCGAGTTCATCCATTTTGTGTGGTTTGGCAATCGAGTTTTCGGCAAGCCTTACGAATAATGAAATATAAAATGGATTCTAACCCTCGAATAATATATCTCTTCGAACGCCACACATGCAAATATGTGCGCAAATCTTAGGCATAAGTTTATAAGTAGCATAGTTTCAGCCCATTTTGACATCTATCAGCTGATTTTAGCTATATATATATATATATATATTATATATATATATTTTAGCTATATATATATATTTTAGCTATATATATATATATATTTATTATGTAATTTCTCAGCTGACAATTAGAATTTTGACCAATTCCCAGCTTTCCATTAAGCCCCAACCAGAGCCCTCACAAAGAATCACACACATTGGGTTGTCACAATTACTCGGAAATGGCTTTGAGCCATGTTTTGAGTTACGTGTAAACAAAGTCCAACTGAAGCAATGACTTGCTTAAAAAAAACTGTCACGTTCTCCTAAGCAAAATAATGTGAGCAATGATTTCACCTAGATTCAATTCTCCCAATCAATAGTTGAGACCAATGCATACAAAGCAGACCATAATAACAGGAGTCGCACTATAAATAAAGTAATTCCAAAGTAGAAAATTAAGGTTAAAATATACTTACAGTGGACTACAATTGTTGTGTCGATGGAAGTGACTTCCACTGAGTTATTGGCTCGACATGTATATTGTCCTGCATCAGTTCTATTTATATTATCAAACTTTAAGAAAGCAGTTTTCTTCCCTGAACTTTCCAATACTCCATTTCTGATCCATGCTACATCCGGCAGTGGTTTCCCAGAAGCTTTACAGGCTATGGTGACAGGGGATCCCTCAATGTAATAGTTTCCTCCTAAAGAGAGGTTTATAAGTGGTGCCTCTGAAAGGTAGAAGAGATTATATCATTCCTCATGGCGTAGCAAATATTACTTTGCCTGAGTCTTAAAGTTTTACTCAATTTCAATAAAATAAACAAAAGCATCCAGCAATTGGTCCCCAACAACCCAATAGTATAAGGCGGCTCAAACCTCACCCAGTACAAGGTAACCTATTGGCGCTTTCTACTGAAGAACTTGCTCACAAGCTAAATTGTAAAGCAGAGCCTCAGTCTTGAGAATTAAGGGCTAATTCAGGAAGTCACTCATTGAGCGGAGTACCTTGGCTTCTGAGCTACTCCCATTTTTTGGAATAAATTTTTTGCTGCTGCAAAAATAAGTTGGAATAGAGCCAATCAAGCCACACTTCACTTGGACTTTAGCCTGACAAAGAATCTACAGAAGACATCCTCAACCCAGAGAACTGAAATTTTGATGAAAGAGAAACTATGGATTCTTCCAGATAAAAAGAATATCCAGGTGGCATGCTGAATGCTGCTTGCCCATTACTTAAAGTTAAAATAAGAACTTAATCATCTCCTTGCTCTGATTGTTCTTTTATCAAACATTAAATAACTCGATCGTTCAGTATGATTGTTCTGCAAAGGGAGTTTGCAGAAGGGAGAGTTTCAATTTCAGGCGTACGTTTGCATAATCTTTCATGGACGAAATCTTTATGAATTTCAAAAATAAAAACCATTTTCTTAACTACATCTGCTTTATCTTTATCCACTTAGCAAACAAAACGTTCCAAATTACGGTCAAAACACCAGACGTAGTTCACTTCGAATTTCTTGATCTATCCTAGTTTCTCCGACCACATTCAAACAGGTTTTACTACACAGCTTCCATCTACGGCTCCCAGTGGGACGTGACGTAAAATACGTCACGCGTTACTAGGTAACAGAACTCATACATATGCACGAATCCCACTTCAGTGGGGTTTGCAGAATTACACACTTTGTCCGTGTTGAAGTCGTCATGTGAATAATTTTAGTCTCTTGGAACACTTTGTGGGATTCAGCCAGTTTCTCAGTGGAGCAATTCGAGTCAGCAATAAAATTAGAGCTGTTGAACTGACCTCCATAAATAACAGCATCTGCTAAGAACAGCATTTCTACTTAGCCACGTTTGATCATCATCGAATTATTTTCTGCTTGCGTGCTCAGCCTCTTTCAAAGAGCACAAAGAGCTTGGATTATAGACTTCGCTGATTTATTGCTTTTATAACTTTAAGAAACTTTTTCTCCATCACGCAAGTCTCACCTCGCCCCTTGGTGTCAGACATTACCTAAGGAAGTCACTATTCTGTTGACCAAATTTCCATCTGCAAACCTTGAAGATCATTATCCTCAGAAAGTAGCAAACGGCGTAATGATGACTTTCATTCCCTTTGGCAAGTCCCTTTAAAAGGCTTGAAAAGCAATGCCATTTTTTTCGCACCAAATTAATTTCACATGCTGCTGTTACTGGTCATACACTATTTCCCTTTAATGATTTGTCAAAATCGTACGATCAATTAGATTATTTCTAAGTGTGACTGACCATTTTCAATTGACAGCTTTGCCAATAGAAAATCTTAGTATTCATATTAACAATAATTATCTATGCATAACAAAGCAACTCACTGAGTAGTTGTCACCAGAATAATAAGCAGTAACTCATTGATAACTTTTTAATTGCTCACTGATGAGAAACAGAAATTTAAGTAAATGGTAGCATGCTAAGTAAAAGTAGCACTGCTGTTCCCAAAAGGCAGGTTAGCAAGCCACTTTTAGCCCTGTATAACGGTTTGCACAAATTTATGCTATAGTTTACTTTCTCTAGATCTCAGTAATTTGAGAGACATGAGTTGAATGCATTTGATTTATGTTTGATTATTCATGGTTATGTCTGTTAAACGTACCTGCCACAATAAGCTGCACTGTACTTTCGATCGTCCCTACTAGTCCATAAACACTACATCTAAATTTGGTATTGTCTGCAGGGTTGATGTTATTGACAACCAGGGTAGCTCTTGCTTCAATTTTAACTCTTCCTTTGTAGCATGAAGGAATGTTAGGATGTTCTTGGACACCCTGACTGTTGCTAAGCATCATTCTGACAAATGTACCATCTACCAGAACACTATAGATAACGTACTGAATCTTATTTTGTGGATCAGTGTAGTCCCAAACTAGGTTGGCGTCACTGCCATTGTTAAAGTAGCTTGGATTGGAAGGTTCCTGAATGAAATGCAAATCCAAACCCCCTAAAATAGACAGCCATAAACATGATATTCTCAGCCCTTTAGTTATATTTAGGAAGAAGGGCTTAAATAGAGTCCACCACAGAAGCTATTTTAGTGTAAATAGTAACAACAATAAGTGCAAATATACTAGAATTGGTATTCACTGATATCAATCGGCTCAAAGTATAATCATTTGCTAAGAAATAAGCCTCAATAACACAAATGTGTAACTATTTGCAACTAGTGAAAATATTTTTTGACAAGTCCCACTATTTTTAATTTCCGAAACGTGAACAGTGGTTCACTTGAAGAAATTTTTTAAATGGGAACTTGTTGAGGTGGAAATGGAAAGTTGGAATGTCCACACATATTATATGTCAAACCATCGAATTAGGGATTTATTATTCCACTCATTTCGTTTTCTCGTATTTTGGCTTTTAGTTTTTGAAAATTTGTACTGCCTTATCTGAGCATCCTACCCATCACATAAGATATTCGTGAAAGAAGGAAGCAACAGAAAAGAAACTATGTCTTTTGATTACCAGAACAAAATTCTTGAGGGCTTTAAAGTTCACTGCTGAAAAATTCATGTTTAAAAATTGGAAATGAAATCAAAGATCACTTCTGTCCCTATTGTTGCCCTGACCTACAGTGTATAACTAAGGCATATTTTGTGTGTTCCATTGCCCTAATATGGTAAAATGACATAATAGTGAAAAAAAATTATCAAATATTTGCCGATGGCGAAGTAAATATTATTCATTGATCTTCCCTTCCCTCTCAGCAAATATTTGTTTCATTATAATCACTCACTCCAGGTGCTTTTGAGTCTTGTTATAAATTCAGTGAATAAAGAACTAAGCATTTCGCACATTTTGTTACAGTTGTGTTGATTCCCTGTATCAGGATGAGTAAGAAGTGTTAAGTGATTTTTTTACTTGAATCAGCAAAAACTTCATCCCTTTGTTTTTAAAAGTGTTCTGCTAATCTTTTAGCATCTTTCATATCCTTTGCAAATTCATCTTTTACTATTGCAATTATCACTTCCTTGCGTCCAACATTTGACGAAAGTCGGGCAGCCATTTGGAAATTTAGCACTTTTGCTGTAATCACCATGCACATGGTGATTATAGCTAGATGTGATGCAATCCGCGACCAATTAGAGCATGCACATCTCTATAATCACCTGAGCAATTCTACTAATCCTAGAATTTACTCTTTGAAGTAATCACATAACACAGGGTAGAACAATAACAACAACACAAACACAGGTGACATCACCATTAACAATTTTTGCTGCTTCATTAACTAAAACAAATAGATTCCATGTTGCCGTGGCTCTGTAAAGTTATTATTCACAGAGGACATCAAAACATGCTAAGAACACCGGTGACACACTCAACTGCGCCTAACTTGTTCTGGGCATTTAATAAGTAGAATATAGCACAATAGTGAACAGTGCTGTAGTCTCCCCCGCTTTTTCACTCCTCTGTCACTCGATCGCTCTGTTTGCTATTTTGTTCTATTTGAATAACTGAATGCTTGGAAAGAGCTAAGCTGCATCTTCTGTGCCACTTTTTTGTTCTTACCATATTCTGACCTCACATGTGATCTATTACTGAACAGATGTACAACAACATGTGGAATTTTTTAATACACAATGGAAAATTAGGGTGGATTTGTTTGAGTGCTTTAATTGCATAAATTGATTGCCAAACTCACAACAACAAAATGGCTTCCTGCTTCGCTGTGTTAAGCTGAGAGAAAATAATTTTAGTAAACGAAACAACTGTCACAAAAAAAATAAAAAAATAGCAACAAAGTGTGCTTTAATGGCATTGAATAGTAAATTAAATAACCTTTTAAACCTTAATTTCTAACTGAATTTCTTTCTTGGAGTAAATTTCAGTAAGCACATGATAAGCCAACACATACACATAAATTTCAAACAGTTTGGTCCTGGTAAACCTTTAACTGTTTCTAAATATACAAAAAAAATAAATAGCCCACGACCACCGGTGTGGGAGACCACAATCATGAGTGCATAAAGCTAAAAACTGGCCAAGTAGACAAATCATACATGTGGGTATGAGGAAATAATTCTCAATTATCCATCCAAGTACATTATGTAGTTTCTTTACATGATTGCTGCCTGAAGGAAAAGTCAAATCGTCACACTCAACTTAGCAAGCAGCAATTATCCTTGCAGAGGTCATTATTTGAACCAATAATGAGTGGAAAAAATTGCTAACAGCTATTTCCTATAATGAGTGATGGATGGGAAAGAAAGAGAGTTTATGAACAGTTGGTAACTCTCTTCTGGGTTTGCATAGCTATCATGTTTGTAATGGAGAGCCACCTGACAAAGAAGTAACTTTTCTCAAGGCCAAGAATACAAGCCACACCAATCAAGAAAATAGCCCTCTTCTCCGTTTCAATGTTGATGTTAAATTCTGAACGTACAGTATCGCTCGCGTATACCTTAACCGAAAAACGCGAATAAAACGCGCCAAAAATCGCATGCAATTGCGAATAAAAATCAAAGAGCTCTTGGAGCCAGCTCATTCCTGTTATGGCTTAGCTTTGCATTTATTTCTTGGACTTGATGAATACAGGTACAGTTGAATTCGGTTTATGTGAACTTTCAATATTTTTGGAATTAATTTTCTTTTATTTTTGGGCAGTTGTGTGATAAGAAAACTTATGCATTCGTCGTGATGGAAATTGGAGAGATGGGCAGAGGTCATTAGGCAGACAGTGTCCTTTTTGTTGGTGTGCGTGTGTTTATGGGGCCGGTTCCTCATGCAAGCCAATAACAATATAAGGCACATATGTGAAAATTGGTGTGTACACTCCTGAAAGTTGAAGATATATCAAGTCGAAGGAACAGTTTTGGTCTCGGTTCGCATTTTTGTCAACAAAGCGAACACATATCAGTCAAAAAGATGAAACGTATGGACCACGTGCAAAGCTGTCAATTTTTTCTCGAATATTGCGCGTGTTAAATATACGATGGTGGCATCTCATTTAAATCTACATCTACTTAGTTGGTAAAATCTGTCCAGATATCACACCAACCAACTCGCGCGCAAAGTGAGAATACTGTATGAAGGCTTGAAATTATATTTTAATATAATTAAAAGAGAGGATGTCAGCATCCATCGAACAAATTTGAAATATTGCGGCAAGTCGCCCAAAATTCGTTTTCTCTCCTATTAATTTGTCCTTGCTAAATTTCAAGTGTGCTGCACGTATCAGCACTCCCCGGGGAACCCCTATACATAGGAGGGCGAGGATGCGCACCGGGAATTTCGAAAACGACCCCTATAAAGTTATAAAAGGTACCTGAGTCTTGTCCGCGTGGGAGTGGCAACAACTGACGTCTACCCATGAAAAGTACCAATTTAAACACAAAAATTGAAAAATCCCAAAAATAAAATCTACTTCATCGATGTGCTCCAGAGGCTCAAGTCAGATCATTAAAGTCGTCTTAGTAGTGCTTATTTCAGGTTTTTTTTGAGCGAAAAACGCTCTAAAAGGCACCAGCCAGGTCTCTGGTAGTCCACTAAAGTTTGAGACACCGTAAAAGGTACCAGATCACTTATTTTGACCCCTGAAAGGTACTACAAGCATCCTCACCCATTTTCGGTCGGTCAAGTAAATTCGTGACGTGAGATCACACAACTCGGGTAATATTCACGGTGAAAATTTGCATATTTGAGCGGTCGAACGAAAAAAATCGTTTCTCGAAAACTAAAATATATTTTTACAAAAAAACTACACCACAATTATTAGGACATATTGGGCTACAAAATATGAAAGTAGGAGTGAAAGCAAACTTTGGGTGACTTGCCGCTGTTTGTCTGATGCATGTTGACATTAGCTCTTAAGAACGATTCTGATCAAGAAACGGACAAGGGATATTCACAATAGCGAAGATAATCGTGAAAAATGATCGCGGGAAAATCGATTGCGTGACGCTCGAGCTTCCTGGAGAAACTGGATTTAACGATCACTGGATCACCGGTTCAAGGATCAAGGATCACCAGACCAAGGATCCAGGATCAGTTAAAAATGAATTAATAAATAAATTAAGTAAATTAATAGGCATGAGTGATGGCTCATCTACGTTACTCAGTCAAAATCTCTTTCTGGCAAAAGGTGCTGTTTTTTTAGCCCTTCCCCAGTCCGCAGACTTTCACGCTACCCTCAAGAACGCTTGATCGCAATTTAGATAAGAAACTGTATATTCTTAATTCCAGTGTAGTTTCTGGGGATTTTCATTGCATTGACAACGCCAACGCCTGTAATTTTATTCTTTCACCAGAGAAATGAAAATAGAGGTTTTTTTTTATCATTTACACAAACCTTTCTTCTGCACTAAGACATTTGTAGACACGGCCAATGGACAACAAAATCGCCTTTATTTTCCAACTATTTGCATTTTCACCCAAGCATTAGTCGATCTAACAAATATTCCCAGGGTTTCTCTTTGACATTAAGCTGGATATTCATCTGTTTGACATTAAGCTGGATATCATCTGTTGGCGAAAAAGTAGTTAAAAAAACACGTTTTTTTAAGCACTTCTGCTTTTGCGCACCATGCTCAACCGTTGCTCTTGTCTGAAACTATCGAGAAACAGAGAATCGGCAGAACTCAAGGTCCTTTATTTTGTCGAAAGTGATCAAAAGTGTGGGACTAAATTTTCTACCTGCTGCACTTACTGATGACAAGAAAAAAAAACAATTCTCCCTCGTTGGTCGTCAGGTACTTTCTTTAAAAAAAAAAACAAAAACAAAAAAACCTTAGAATAAGAACTGATTCAATTCCCCAGCGTGTGTTTTTGAGATTGCTTCCGTGTATACTCCAGAGGACTCAAAATAACAACTCAGTGGGAATACAATTTTATCGCTTTCCGAATCATGTCTCTTGTCAAATCCTGTCGGAAAAACGACTAAAATGTCTTCTTCTAAGCAAGTGATTCTTCAAATGCATTTCATCTGCTTTTCCTTTGAGAATATGACGTCAGTACAAATTTGAAGAGATGAAGTTAAAGCAGCTGAAAATTTGCTGTTCACTCCGGCAGTCGTCAAAAACGGCCTCGAGTTTGAAATTGCACCGGATGTCAGCAACGTAATCACATACCGACACTCAGGACTTAAACTTAGTAATTGGAAATTTCATGTGAATATAGCGTATGCACAAGTAAACCCGCTCTGTAGCTGTCAGTCTTCAAGAGCTGTCCTAATAATCGGTCGGAGAAAATTGGCACTTCTTCAAAGTGGTATGGCTTTTTCAGTATTTAGTATATTTATGTTTATTATATCTATTATATTTGTGCCGATTTCGCTTATTTTCTCTTATTTTCGCTTGAGCATACGGAAGATCTTGACTGAGTCACGTGGATGAGCAATCAATCATGCCTATTAATTTATTTAATTTATTTGATTCATTTTCAACTGATCCTTGATCCTTGATCCTTGATCCTTGGTCCGGTGATCCTTGATCCTCGATTCATTTTTTTCCAGGATGTGTGGACTTCATGTTGAAGAGCTCCCGAGGACAAGCACAATGATAAAGCAATGATTACTTCATACCAACTGAAGACGAACGCAAACGCGCGGCTTAACAATATGGCTGCCTCTGATACCCTCCTGCGTGGTCACAGCGTGTGTTGAGATGAAACCGCTACAGGTCCCCTAGGTGTGAACATTTCGGCTTTTCAATTCAAGGTGCATTTTTAGAAGTTCGGAAATTATTATTTTTTTAAACCATACAAACATTTTATATCTTTCCACGAGAGTTTCTGAGCTTCGAAATTAATTTTGAATTTTACTTAATGGGGAGGGGTAGGATACGAGACTTCTTCTGTTCACGCTCCACAATGCAACTTCCGTCCACGGAAAACAACTTCCGTCAACATCTGCTTCACCACAATACCTTTCAGCATTAATGAGCTAAAAATCGTTCGCGTCAAAAAAATCGCACGAGCGCGCACGAGCTTGAGACTTCTGCCTCACCAGTATGTATGAGGTAATCCTACTGATGTCCTATTGTTGGCGGTTCATCGTTTCAAAGAAAAGGCTACAATGTAAGAGCACTAAAATACCATACGGCTACTGACGACAAGCAAACTTATTCGTTTCAATCACCATTCGAACCAATCTTCCCGATATACTCTTACCAATGCGACTTCGTAATGGTTTATCATTTTCCAAAATAGCTATTTTTCACTTCGTAAAAAAAAAAGGTAAAATTTTCGCACAGCCTTATCCTACAAAATGTATTCAGTTCTTGGATAGAGAAAACAATGACAAAAACAATACGTTGCCATTGGGAAAACAGATTTGTTCCCTACGGCAATGTATTGTTTTTGTCACTGTTTTCTCTATCCAAGAACTGAATGCATCATGTAGGATGGGGCTGTGCGGAAATTTTACCCGAAATGAAACTGATTACATTCCGGTGTGTAAATACTGAAGCGAGCGCCAATGCAATGATTATAGTAAAACATCATTAAATAGTTTTTTTCCTTCTGATCCTCATCGAAGGTGATCGAGGTAAGTAAGAAAAGAAAACATCACCTGCGAGGCAAACACCAAATTGTTTACATTCCGCCCCGTAATCATCTAAGGGAGGGCTGATTACATTGAACAAATTGTGAAGCATATTAGTGAGTATTCGTTTCGTTACTCACTTACTAATAAACGTGTTTTTATGCCTTGTGTAAGTGATATTTTCCTTCCCACCTGATTCCTCAACAGTTCAAATCAAGCAAATCTGCAGCTACTGCTCGTTATTAAATAAATTTCGCGAAGCGACGCAGCACGCGTAAGTGTAACAGGTAGCTTTTTTCATTATGTAAAATTTTCCGCTGTCGACTCGTCGCGTTTTCAAACCTGAAAGTTCTTTGTTTTATACAACAATGAAATACAAAGGAAACTCATAACACTGAATAACAAAGGCACATAGGTCGCACAATTTTTTCGAAAGTGCGCGCAAAAAATCGTACATACGCGTCTGACTACCCTGTGTCTGAGCGTATGAAATTCGTCTGCACAGTTAACATATTAGCGAGTGGTACTGTATGGTATTGTTACACTTGAAGCATAAAAATCCTTTGCTCTTGATTTCTGTCGCATCATAGTTATTCAGACTTCATTTATCACGGGATCGAAACTCCAAATCATAACTAATTTTTGAAATACAAAAACTGTTGAAAGCCACGTCACCTTGGAGTTCGAAAATCATTTGGACGAACATCACGTTCACAAATTAAGGGTCGGCGTTTTTGGTGTCTAAGCTTAAAATGGCCCATGGTAAAATACACTGTAAAATTGTTTGCACGGGAGAATTAATTTCACACTTACCTGACCCGTGAAACTTTACCAGCAGAAGAATGAGTAGGTAAATTTCATAATCACGGTAAGACACCATCTTATCAGACCTTTGCTGAAGCTTCAAAGAGGAAGTTTTTGCCTTTTACTCCTACGGAAGTTACTTAAAGGGGTTAAAGGAGAAGGCCCTTTTTCGATTTGAGACTGGGACTGAGTGTCACGATCATCCTCGTGAAATTGTCGGCGTAGTCGGCAAAATTGCCTAAATAACATGGCGGATGGGGCAATTGATGGAAGAAAACTCGATTTATGCTAAACACTTGGCACATGTGCTTAAATTGTAGAAGCTTCCCTTTTGGAGAGACGTTCCATTCGGAGTGAATAATTCGTAATGTGTCGAATGAGCATGACTCGATGGCACCGATATCGATCACGCGCTTATGAAGCTAAATGCAAGTCACGCAAATAAAAAGTAAATTGTAACAGGCAGTTTTCAACTCCTCTTTCTTGTTTATCAACGGTGGATTCTTTCCCAAGGGCTACTAAATATTATAAAGGTATTGTTCCGCTGATCTATCCCCAATAGGGATGCACAAGAGTACCAGTATTCCTGAGGCTGGAAACTGAAGTTAAGCGAATTAGAAGCGAAATAATTACGCAATCCAGACGTGTAAACTCAGACAGTACATAACACGAAGTGCGGGAAAATCAAATTGAATGCATTTTTTAGAGAATAATTTTCCTCAAGATTCCCTCTATCTTGATATCAGCTTCTCCGTAAATCTTCGCACCATGTTATCTAAAAACATCTCTGAGACTTTCATTTCTGTGCTCGATGTAATAAGCCGAGAAGTTTGGAGATGGGAGAATTAATTTCACACTTACCTGACCCGTGAAACTTTACCAGCAGAAGAATGAGAAGGTAAATTTTATAATCACGGTAAGACACCATCTTATCAGACCTTTGCTGAAGCTTCAAAGAGGAAGTTTTTGCCTTTTCCTCCTACGGAAGTTACTTAAAGGGATAAACGAGAAGGCCCTTTTTCGATTTGAGACTGGGACTGAGTGTCACGATCATCCTCGTGAAATTGTCGGCGTAGTCAGCAAAATTGCCTAAATAACATGGCGGATGGGGCAATTGATGGAAGAGAACTCGATTTATGCTAAACACTCGGCACATGTGCTTAAATTGTAGAAGCTTCCCTTTTGGAGAGACGTTCCATTCGGAGTGAATAATTCGTAATGTGTCGAATGAGCATGACTCGATGGCACCGATATCGATCACGCGCTTATGAAGCTAAATGCAAGTCACGCAAATAAAAAGTAAATTGTAACAGGAAGTTTTCAACTCCTCTTTCTTGTTTATCAACGGTGGATTCTTTCCCAAGGGCTACTAAATATTATAAAGGTATTGTTCCGCTGATCTATCCCCAATAGGGATGCACAAGAGTACCGGTATTCCTGAGGCTGGAAACTGAAGTTAAGCGAATTAGAAGCGAAATAATTACGCAATCCAGACGCGTAAACTCAGACAGTACATAACACGAAGGGCGGGAAAATCAAATTGAATGCATTTTTTAGAGAATAATTTTCCTCAAGATTCCCTCGATCTTGATATCAGCTTCTCCGTGAATCTTCGCACCATTTTATCTAAAAACATCTCTGAGACTTTTATTTCTGTGCTCGATGTAATAAGCCGAGAAGTTTGGAGATGGGAGAATTAATTTCACACTTACCTGACCCGTGAAACTTTACCAGCAGAAGAATGAGTAGGTAAATTTCATAATCACGGTAAGACACCATCTTATCAGACCTTTGCTGAAGCTTCAAAGAGGAAGTTTTTGCCTTTTACTCCTACGGAAGTTACTTAAAGGGATAAACGCGAAGGCCCTTTTTCGTTTTGAGACTGAGACTGAGTGTCACGATCATCCTCGTGAAATTGTCGGCGTAGTCAGCAAAATTGCCTAAACAACATGGCGGATGGGGCAATTGATGGAAGAAAACTCGATTTATGCTAAACACTCGGCACATGTGCTTAAATTGTAGAAGCTTCCCTTTCGGAGAGACGTTCCATTCAGAGTGAATAATGCGTAATGTGTCGAATGAGCATTAATCGATGGCACCGATATCGATCACGCGCTTATGAAGCTAAATGCAAGTCAGGCAAATAAAAAGTAAACTGTAACAGGCAGTTTTCAACTCCTCTTTCTTGTTTATCAACGGTGGATTCTTTCCCAAGGGCTACTAAATAATATAAAGGTATTGTTCCGCTGATCTATCCCCAATAGGGATGCACAAGAGTACCGGTATTCCTGAGGCTGGAAACTGAAGTTAAGTGAATTAGAAGCGAAATAATTATGCAATCCAGACGCGTAAACTCAGACAGTACATAATACGAAGTGCGGGAAAATCAAATCGAATGCATTTTTTAGAGAATAATATTCCTTAAGATTTCCTCTATCTTGATATCAGCTTCTTCGTGGCTCCTCGAACCATGTCATCTAAAAACATCCCTGAGACTTTTATTTGTGCCCGATTTAAAATCAGCCGAGAAACTACTACACGAACACGAGCTGGAAATAACAACTAAATTTTTTCATGTATTACAGCTACGATGTTGGCAAAGGTGAGTCTAAAGTCAGAGGGGCGCCTCAGATTAACTTTGGTTACGAGAGGGAATGTTAAGTGGAGGGATGAAGGGGTGTAGCACTTATGGGGAGACCAAGAGTGGAGTGGGGGGAGGTCTGAAGCTTCCTGTCGTAGAATTCCATAAAATTTGCAAGTTAAATCTTCCATTAATTTTGATTTTGACAGACAGGTGTGTAATTCATTCACTTTGGTTTTTTTTTTGGAAAAAAATTTGAAAATTGAATAGAATAAGAAATAAAACCACTACACAATTTCAACAGCTAAAATGTCGTAACTAGCCTGAAAAAAGGTGGGTTTATATGTAGTTTTCAATACTCTATTTCAGATATGATCCAAACGTCAATACCTACAGCACATGCCTCTCGCGCGGACTTATTGACAAACTGACTGACTGACTACCAGAAAAAATTGATGAATGAGTGACTGAATGAATAAATGTCCTTTTAATATCACTGGTAAGCGTGTATATGATTCCCATCAGAGCACTTAAAGGCAGGCAGCTGATAAACCTTTGTAACCTGGCCGAAAGCACCTTTTACCAATGATTTTCCATATTTTCACATGATCCTTTGACATTTCCCAGGAGCGAGTTGATAGATGAAGTGTTGCGTAATCATCAACTTGGCCTGCAGTTTGAGTACGAATATCACTTAATTCTTGTTTCCCTTATATCTATGTATTTTGCAGGATTTTAAACAGAGTCACTTGCAACAGAATAGCCTAAATTAATATATTTTATCTCCATATCTTTCTGAAAAAAAAGTATATATTAGCTTGATATATTCAAACACAGCATTCCTTGCAAACATTTTCACTGCGTAATTGGTATCTCTCTCCAGACTCCCAAAAGTCTGACTTGTTGTACCAGGATCAGTAATAATCACACTGTCCCTCTCAGTGTCACCCTCTAAAATCCCTAGGTATCCTGTGATAAGACTCCCTCCATCATCAGCTGGAGCTTTTCATCTTACTGTTGGTGAACATGCTTGAAAATCTTCCACTGATGATGCCATGGATGGTGGGTCTGGTTTATCTACAAACGTGTAAATAAAAACTTGAACTATCCTCGTTCCATAATCAACAAAGTATGAGGAAATAATTAATTGATAACGTACAGTAATGTGATAAAATATTCTACTCAATTGTTACATGTATAGAGAAAGTCTGAGAAAGCATACAATTTTGATTTACAGAACATCATGCTTATTAAAATAGCAATGTTAGGAGATGATTCATTAATTCTCAAATAATAACTTCAAAGAAAGTTACGTGATCAGTATTGTCTGGCGTCGGTCTTTCAAAAAAGTGCCTAATTATGTTAAACGGCATGTATACACTCGATTTCAAAACGTTGACGCCTAAAAAACACGAAGTGGGAAGTTTGGAGAGCACGAGAGAAGCATACAAGTTGTTCGAGGCGCAGCCGAAAGCAACTTTAGCTTCTTGAGTAAATACGATGTACGAACAGCTAACTGAGCATGAACCAATGTCTCTATAACATAACATGCAGATACAAGATGTGCACAAAACGAAAAGTATATTACAACTCAGTATGTTGGGTTTAGCAGGTAATGGTTTCTACCCGAAAACTATGACAAGGCAAAAACGACTAAGAAATATCTCAAGACCAAATCTTTATTAAAAGAATTGCAATTTTTCTGCTTAGAAGCGAGAAAAGAACGACTTTCATGCATGTTCGAGACCGTGTCGTAGATTCAGCATGTTGAATCGCTGTTTACTAGAATTCACAGCCAGAACATTGCGAAGGTTTGTCTTCAAAATTTTGAGAATGCATGATTTTAAACAAAATCTTCTATTTAACAACACTGTTGGGACATAACTACACTTCAAAATAATATTTACTGTTTTAATTACAAAGCATTTACGACACCCGTGTGAAAGATTAACCATGCTTGCAGTTTTGCACAAATCTGTCTCGATAGGCTGAAAGGTGTTCCCTTTACATATTTACCAACCATTTACATCGAAATTCTGTTTCCTTTCGTTATCATCTTCTCAATGAGCACAGAAGCTTTACTTTTCATTCTTTTATTTCGTTTTGATTATCTGTAATATGAATGACTGTAAGAACACGATGGAGATCTACCTATCTTAAGTCCGGTTTGCACAAGTACTGATTAACTGAACGAAACTTAGTAGTTCACAACTGCAATATGATTTTGGTAAGAGCATTAAATGCACATTTTCAGTAGTAAATCTCGCTCTCATGGTTAGTTCAAAGTAGCCGGTCCTATGACTTTTTTTACGCAAAGCAACAAACCTCACTAACTCGCCAGAGGAGCGATTACGAACATCAGCAGTCACAAAGTAATTAGGGATTATCTGGACTTTACGCATCACTGATAAATCTGTTCCTTCTTAGGAAACCAATATCTATTTATCGCTAATGCATAGCAGATGGATCTTTTTAAGCTATGTTCTAAGAATTAT